TAGGGTGAGCAGGGGGTAACTCTGGTTCGCATGGCGGGCTGATCTCCATGGAAGATCTCCCTCTTGCCCTGCTCGAACCTGATCCTCGACCATTCTAGTGTCAAGATCTCACTGAGGGCCGTTATCAGCGTTCAAACCCCTCCGTTCTGTCGTATTAGCAGACTTTGCTGGCTGCACCATCTTTGCGTATGTTTCTTAGATCGGGATGACTTAGATCGTCCTTCCCCACAGACGGCGCCAAATGTTTATGCAAGAGTTTGCACAACGGTTTTTCACGAATCGAGCTCGAACCCGGTCTCCGGCTCCGACCTGAATACTAGAGTGGACCTGCACAAGAGGGTAAGCACTCCGACACTCAAGTCAGTATAGATCGGATTCTGTATTCAGTTCGAGGTGAGATTCGATACCTGAGCGTGAAATGAAGCCCTCTATTTATAGGTGATGGATCCGACAGTACACACGACCGGCGGTTATATGTCTTTTYTCATGTCGAACCTGTCGGGTTTCAAGTAGGTCGGACCCAAGCCAGGTCGAACTGTAATGCCCATACTTAGCCTTTTTTGTAATGGGCGAGCCCGGTCTCCTCGGTAGGGCCGAGGTGGACCTAAGCAATCCTTATTCAATTTCCACGAACACCAATACGAGTCCTCCACGTGTCTCGGGCACATTTTACCCCCAAACACCTACTGTCTAATACCATCTAAAAATTCATAGGATTTCATCTCAAAACTAATTGGAGGAGTAGCACACGTATTTATAAACCTTTTCAAAGTCTCTTGATCTGTTTGATGGGAATCCCCTTAAGATGGTGGCTTTTTTGTTGGGTTCACCAATCTTGGTTATATCTATTTTTTTTTATCAGATGCTCGTTTGAGCTTGTTGGGCTCTGATACCAAGAACAAAATTAAGAAAATAACAATAATAAGAAATTTTAGAATATTGTTTTTGTTTTCTAATGATTAAGCGAGATTGTTATACAAGAGTTATTACAAAGTGTAAAATTCGATGGAAATTTCCATTAGAAAGGAAAGAACAAAAGAACCTTTTTCTTGGATAGAATACGCCCTAAGTTAGGAGGATTTACAACATGCGTTTAGGCGCCTCTTTTTTCTTAAAATGAGAATTCTTAGTTGAAGAACATTGTTAATAACGATTGACTTGAGTGGAAAGAAATAATGCAAACAAAATTAAACTCATTTTTAAAATATGATATTTTTAGTCTAGTAGTCCAGACACCAGAAGATGTAAGATCTCTAAAGTACGAATGGGTATTTGTAAGAAAACGAAATGAAAAGAATTAGATCATAAGATATAAAGCAATATTTATTGTAAAATGATTTTCACAATGGTATGATATTAATTATGAAGAGATATATTCTTCAATGGTTGATACAATTACATAAGGTATCTAATTAGATTGATTGTATATGGAAAGCTTAACATGCATCTTATGGAGGTAGTTTTAGCATATTTATATGGATCTATTAATAATGATATTTATATGAAAATTTTCCTTGAATTGCAAATATAGTATTTAACAAAATTAAATACTTATTCATCAATCAACTTATATTGAAAAGATTTAAAAAGATTTTACATAGACAAAAGTCCATTTAACATTCCAATGGTTGTTCATTTACTTGATGTGAATAATGATATTTTTTTGAACTCGAGAAGATAATGAACTACTTGGTCTTGAAGTATCATGTCTTTTAGTACAACATGTGAGGGTGGGGGATCAAACTCACAATCTCYTGGTTGGAGGTATGTGCCAATTACCGCTAAGCTATGCTCGCTTTGGCAAAAGGAATTAGTGTTGAGCATTTATTAAGTTATCCTAAAGTAACACTTCGATATGAGTTTATTTTACTCTAATAAATAAAATTTGGATCTAATTAATCATACAAATGTATGTTATTTATCTATTGAGATGCGTTTATTTTATTCTAGTTTATAAAATTTTGATCTAATTAGTTATATAGATGCATGTTATTTATCTGACCCAAAAAAAAAAAAAACAAACTAGATTTCATATAGATTATTTATTTACATGTGGATGAATGGATAAATTGAAATAAGATCTCTCAATTGAACTGATACTAATACATAACCAATACAGTAACTAATATTAGTTAATATCTCTAACTAATACATAACCAATACAGTAACTAATATTAGTTAATATCCCCCCTCAAACAAATGCACAAGAATTCATTAGTTTGGATCAAAGATAGTGCAACCAAGGAGAAGGCAGAGACTTAGTAAAAAGATTAGCAACTTGCTGTGCATTGAGAGTGTACTGCAGCACAAAATCTTTCCGAGTGACACATTCTCGTACAAAGTGAAAATCAATCTCTACATGCTTAGTTCGGGCATGGAAAAYTGGGTTGCGGACTAATTGTATAGCAGAAACGTTATCGCACCATAATATAGGTGGCCTGTCACTGAAAATATGAAGGTCTTTAAGAAGCTAACGGATCCAAGAAAGCTCAGCTGTTGTGGAGGCAAGAGCTCGATACTCAGCTTCCGTGGAACTACGAGAAACAGTTGTTTGTTTCTTAGCCCCCCAAAAAATAGGATTAGGACCTAAGAACACAACAAAACCCAAAGTAGAACGACGATCTATGGGATCCCCAGCCCAATCTAAATAAGACTATGCCTGAAGTCGAAGGGAATCAAAGCAACCTCTTTGAAATAATAAACCACAATTAAGCGTCCCTGCAAGGTACCGAAGCACYCTCTTGGCTGCAGTCAAATGAGAGTCGGAGGGATGATGCATAAATTGAGAGAGCTTGCTGACTGAAAATAAGATATCAGGTCGACAAAAAGTGAGGTAAGGAAGAGCCCCAATGAGAGCTTTGTAATTTTTAGCATTATCAACAGAGAAAGATGGGCCAGTATTGGCATCAGCAACCAAGGCAATAGGGGTAGCACAAGATTTAGCACCAAGCATGCCAAACCGTTGGAGAATATCTATAGTGTATTTGGTTTGATGAACAAGAATTCCCTGCGAAGAACATGATATCTCAAGACTCAGGTCCGTCATTTCAAAACGAAACTACAACTGAGAGTTAAGTGTCGTGACATAAGAAGGACTATTACCAGTCACAATAATATCATCGACGTATAAAAGAAGATAAGTAATAGAGTCACCAATATGCCACACAAATAGAGAGGAATCAGAAAGCGAAGCTTCAAAACCGAGTGTAAGCAAGTGAGATGTAAAACAATCAAACCAGACCCGAGGTGCGTATTTAAGACCATAGAGGGATTTGACAAGCTTACAAACATGGTGTGGATGAAGAGGATCAACAAATCCTTGAGGTTGATGCATATAAAACTAATCTTGAAGCTCTCCATGAAGAAATTCATTTTTAACATCCAACTGACGGAGCTGCCAACCATATTATACAACCAAAGAAAGAATTATATGAACTGTTGGCTTCTTTACAACTGGGCTAAAAGTCTCATCATAATCAATACCCTCCTCTTGATGATAGCCCTTGGCAACAAGGCGTGCCTTATAWCGGGTGACACTCCCATTAGGATGACGTTTAATTCGATACACYCACTTGCATCCAGTAGCATGTTTACCACGAGGTARAGGGGTTAAAACCCATGTATGTTGCTGAACTAAGWYATTAAATTTTTCTTCCGTGGTCTATTGTCAAACTAGAATTTTTGAAGCTTTAGTAAAAGATGAAGGTTCTTCTTGAGTACATGGTATAGTGGCAAGGAACAACCWTTTCTTAGAAATCCCAAACTTACTCCTAGTTTGCAGAGGATGATTATTAGAAGGAACCACAAGCATATGAAAAGGAGCTGGATCAGAAACAATAGCAGCAGTACCCTTAGTATGAGAAACAACATGTGGTAAAGAATCAATAGTACCCTCAGTATTGATAGTAGGAAGACTAGTCCCCAATGAAAAATCAGTAGAAGAACCCAAAACACCAGCGGGCAAAGAGTATGCCAACCAAGTGAGAAGATTGAGAATGAGAAGTAGCAGTAGTACCAACAGGAGCAACAGATTGTGGTATAGAAGATGAATAAAAAGAAGGCAATAGAAATAGAGATAAAGGTAGACGTGAGGACATAGATATGGAAGATGCAGAGAAAGAATGATRTAAAGTGGGAGAGGAGAAAGGAAAAGAGGATTCGTAAAAAATAACATGGCGAGAAGTATAAAGTCAACCATTGCTCATGTTGTAACAATAATATCCTTTATAATCCAACGGATAGCCCAAAAAGACACGTTTTGCAGATTTGGGTTCCAATTTATGAGAGTGCTATGGCTTTAGAAGTGGATAGKAGGCACACCCGAACGACTTAAGAAAGRAATAGTCAGGTGGTTTATGCAAGAGTAATTCGAAATTGATTTGTTGTTTAGATGAGCAGATGACAGTCGGTTTATAAGAAAGACAGCAGTACTAAATGCGAAAGGCTAAATGTAATGGGTACGGAAGCACGAGATATTAAGGTTAAGGCAGTTTCCACAAGATGACGGTGTTTACGCTCAGCAACACCATTTTATTGAGGCGTATAAGCACAAGACTTTTGATGAAAGATGTCATGATCCTGAAGATAAGAGCCGAGGGTTTRGTTAATAAATTCCCCACCCCCATCACTTCGAAAGACTTTAATACAAGTGTTAAGCATATTCTCAACAAGTGGCTTAAAGGTTTTAAACATAGAAGACACAGCATATTTTAAAGACACAGGATAAAACCAAGTATATTTGGAGAAATCATCAACAAACGAGACATAGTAATTGAAACCGTTTATTGAAGTTGTAAGGGCGGGACCCCATACATCAGAATGAACTAATTCCAAAAGATACATGGAAGCAGATGAAGAAACTAAAAAAGACCATCTATTTAATTTCCTATACAAACAGTGTTCCCAGGTACAAGAAATTTTAGACGATGGTAAATGTAAAGATCGAAGAACAGAATTAAAAGTAGAGTCACATGGATGGCCTAACTGGTTGTGCCAAATGGATGAAGAAATCTTGTTACCAACATGAGTGACCTTAGAAGCATGAACATAGGAAGATATAGGGTACAAGCCATTAATACTAGGGCCTCGAGAAAGAATCTTGCCCGAAGATTTATCCTGAATAGAAAATTGGTTAGAATCAAAGATAATGAGAATTATTATCGACACAAAGTTGGTGCACAGAAAGAAGGTTGGAGGAAATTGGGGGAACATGTAAGATATTACGAAGATGTAAAGGAGAATGAGAAGTGTGAAGTACACCACAACCTGTGTGAGCTATTGGCAAAAACCCCAACTTGATCTTCACCCGAATATTCAGAGGTAGCAGATAATTGGCTCAAATCAGAGGTAACATGAGCATTACACCCAGAATCAGCTAACCAATTAGTATTAGGAGTAGCAAAATTGGTATAGTTGTGGTTGTGGCAACCATAGCGGCCAATTGAGATGGAGGATGGCGACCTTAATAACTATAATTCATTTGATTAAAGCAATCGAGTGCATGGTGTCCAACACAGTTACAGATTTTGTTGGGTTTTATGCCATAAACTCGTGGTTTGTAAACATAAAACAAATATTCATTCAATAAAGTTGGTATTGATAGAATTGCATTAACCCAAATCCAATAAACTAACATCCGAGGTTATGTCATGTAACTGGAACAATATATAACAGATATACAATATATATTTAATATACAACATATATATTTGATATACAGTGTATATATGTACAATATATATTCGATATATAAGTGGATAATGTTCCAGTAGTAACCTAAAGGGTCTATAGTATATGGATAAGGTTGGGTTACTGGTAACACTATGGATATGGCCCACTTTGTAATAGTTACAAATGACTTGATCCAAGTCGTTCGTGTGGAGACATGCGAGTGAGGGTATCATATACGATGAGTTTGTATAAGACTGGACCACGAAATAATTACTCTTTAGCTATAACACCRTTAGCTAATAGATTAATATTTCAATAGGATGACTAGGTCACTCGATCTCAATCCTGAGTGAGTTATGGACTTCTGCCTGTTAGGGCTCGTCCTTTGATTTGTATGGGTGAGAGTGGTTCGAGTCGCCGACTCAATATGCCTACCATTTTGGGGACGAGACCGAGTGAGGAGCTGGAAACATAACTACACAAGATGGAATTCACTCCTTCCCGACTTCAAGGTAAGTAGATGAGTGTTCTCTTGAGTGCTGACTCTAGGACTTGAACAAGGGGCCCCACCCTCTCACTGATCCGAGAGGGACTTCCGGTTATTGGTTGGACCATAATCGGGTTGTTCATTAGAGGATCAGTGGTACTTAAGGTACAAGATGTAACACAAAGGTAAAATGGTAATTTGACCCAGTTGTGGTTACGAACACTCGTGAAGGATTAACTTACCGTCAATGGTTAAAATCCATGGACGCAAAATATTCTACAGTGAGAARAGTGCAACTGTGGGTCTTTAGTGGAGTGACCGACAGTTAACGAATGTTGATTAATATGGTTAATGAGTTTAATCAATTAATCTCGTATCGTTGGAGCTTCCGATCTATAAGTTCATTAGGTCCCCTTGCTAACTCGTAAAGGATAGTTAAGAACAGTTAGTCTTGAAAATAATTTGAATTGTTCAAATTAGTTAAAGGGAATTAAGGTTAATTGCATGAGATGCAATTAATATAATGTATGTTGATACATTATAGTATAAAGTTAATTTTGAATTTGATTCAAAATTATGAGAGAGATGGATAGTATAATTTGATTCTAATATAGTGGATTAATTTAAATTTAATTAAATTGAATATGATTTAATTAAATTAATTAAATTAATGTGATATATTAATTTGGTTAAATTAAATTAGATTTAATTTAATGAAATTWATAATTCTTTTTCTTTTTAATAATTAAATTAGATTTAATTAATTATTATTTTAATTAAAATAAAAGGAAAAAAAAAGAAAAGGAAAATGAGAGGTAAGCTCCCACTTTCCACCAAGTTTACGAAACTCCAACGAGAAAATCTCTCTCGCTCTCTCGATTTCCTTTCAATTATAAGACGGTTCCCACAAACCGAGTTCTTAACATCCAGAGGATAGTGAGGAAGACTTCGTGGTAGCGTTGATATCTACATTGAAGAGGTGTCTTGAAAGATATGTATCACTAACTCCTATTCATGCTTATATGTTTTTTGCTCTGTTGTAATTCTAAGACAAGATCGAAGCATRCACGTTCGCGCGCTTCCACTGCGGGATCCGATCCCTTCAGATTTAACATATGAGGCGTTGAGAAGACGTATCAAAGGGAGCTTTACCAGCAGAATTGCTGAGTGGAAGAATACAAGGACTACCACGGCCACGACCGAAATTGCAAGAAAACATACTGAAACTTGAAGACCCGTTTCGATTTGAGACTTTATTCTTGCCGGAAAAGCCTCRTCCACGTCTCATGTTAGGATTAAAATTATGATTCCGTGAGGAATTTGGCGTATTAGCAAGAAGAGCCGTCAGAGCAGCAAAAGATTCATTGTGCTTCACCTACTTATCAATGGCGACTTCCTCAGATACAAGCAGAACATGTAACTCTTCAAATGTGACAATTTGAGAACGCGTAAGCATCGAGGTGCGAAAAGTGTTGTAATCCGCAGGAAGACCATTTAGGGTGTAGATAACAAGATCCTCATGATCAATTAAAATGGAAACGTTTGCCAGTTTATCCTTCAATTCTTTGATACGCTGAATGTATTGATCGATAGTTTTAGAAGGCTTCTTGATAATAGTTTGTAAATCAGACTTGAGATATACAACATTTTCTCGGGAATTAGAAGAATAATGTTTGTCTAAGGTATCCTAAACTTGCTTAGAGGTCTCGCATCCAACTACATAAGCAAGAGCGGTTTGTAATAAAGTGGCGTTGATTACAATCATCAATGCATGGTCTTTAGCAATCTAATCCTTAAATGCAGGATTTAGCACCCAGATTACTGAAGCAGAAGAATAAGTACGAGGTGATTCCATACGAGGTGCAGGTTGAACAACAGATCCATCGATAAACCTGAACAATTTGTGCACTTCTAGAATGGATGTTAATTGAAATCTCCACATAACGAAATTTGTAGCATCCAATCGAATGGAAACAAGATTACAAATGTTAGAAAGAAGAAAGATATGTGAATTGTTATCTTTCGAAGAAGAGGATATAGTCGAGAGAGACGACTCTGCCATTAAGGTCAAGTGCGAAAGGCGTGTAAAACAATGAAGAAGAACGCATGACAAGAAGGATTGAGAAGAAGTGGGTCAAGAGAGCACTGATACCATGAAATAAGATCTCAATTGAATRGAATGTGTTTTATGTGTTAATGAATGAATATTACAAGATTATATATACACTGAAATGTAACTAACTGAAAAGAATACAATTGATAAAAAACTAATTAGCCTATAACTAATGCATAATCAATATTGTAACTAAGATCTTATAACTAATACATAACGAATATAGTAACTAATATTAGCTAATATCTATAACTAATACATCACCAATACAGTAACTAATATTAGTTAATATATATCATGGACGTCCTACTAATTGCATAAGTAAGAGAGTGTCTCTTCCCCTTCTTTCTTTCAGGCAAGGAGGTCTCTCGAGCCTGCAGTTTGTTGCTATTGCCCGAGCAATAGACGAAGAGAAGAGGGCTCAATCCCTTGCTTTGTGGGGCCCTTTCAATAAGGCTCGCGTAAGTGCGCTCACGTTTTTTTTGGCTCTCTTCGCTCCGATCTATGAAAGTAGCTATAATATCTACTTCTTCAAATCATACTTGAAATCCTTAGGATTCATAAGGGTAGGCAAGATCAAGGACACAACACATTTCATGCCACATGTGACTTGTCTTCTACAAAGACCATCCAACAATATTATAGGAAGACAGTACAATATGTAAAACCTAAATTAAAGGAAAATATATTTAAGAAGACAGTATGAAGTAGATCTAACCAAAGCTCTTTTGAACTCATAGTCTTGAAGGAAATAACATTAATCATTATTCAATAAATTTCTTTGAGAGACAACTTGGTAAACTTATTTAGACATTACCTAGTTGGTAGGCTTATTYACAAAGACATTACTTATTGCAAATATAGGATGTTGGAACAAAAGCTTGATTCAAGGCCTTAGAGATCTCAAGTGATATTTCCACAAGGAAAAACAAATATACTATACTTTTTTTTTCTTTTAACTAAACTTTCATCCCACAAATTTTTTCCTAGATCCTAAACTATATGAATAATATACTTTTTATTTTTTCCTCACAATATAAATATTTCCCATTGGGTATTTAAAAAAAAGTAAAATGTTCACAAAGCATATAATTCATATAATGGACATCTAAAAGAAGTTTTGTAAATATCATCCATAGGCCACATAGGTTACAGTGGTTACACATCTGATTGACTCCAATTACTATCATTAGTTCAATCTTTCAATTTATGCCTATATTGTGATCCTTAAAATTATAAGTAGAATTAGAAAAACACATTGCGTTGTACACCTCTTTAAAAAGTGTTCTTATTTCTATGATAATAAAAAAAAAATTGTAAAAGAGCATTAGATTTATGATAAATTTTTTAATCTCAAATTTAAGGTGAGTCCCATCAATTGATTTCATTCTCCACAAAACATTTTACACAAGTAAACTGTACCTAAAACGTACCATCTTTCAACTACAATGGTAAACATATAAAAACAAACATCAACAAAAACAACTTGCTCACTATTTTTGCCAACATGTCACTGTTTCTTCTTCCTGGTTCTGCTAACAAACTTGTTACACTGCCAGTCTCTCTTTTTAACCATCAGAGTAGAATAGAATTAAACATACTATGAGTTCGTAGATCATAGATTCATATATACATGCAGAAATTATCATCTTCAACTACACTCTAGTTGTTACAAGTCGAAGGCTATTTTTCACTTGACAGAAAGTAAAAATGCATATTCGTGTCTATTCTATGAACAAAGCAAAGAATTAAAAACCATTTGTCTTGCTATCTAATTGAATAGTTGATGAAGAAACAGTAATAAACATCTAAAAGAATATGTCTTCATGTACAGAGACACAGAGAGAGACTAAATCCTAGACTTCCTGTACAGATGCAGTTATGTTTGCAACTTTGTCATCACTTGTTTGAAGAATTTCTATATTCGGACCTGGAGTCGGCGCCACGCTTTGTATATAAAGAGCCAACTGAAGGAACCTCGATGTGTGATGAGCCAACTGCAGAAAGAGGCTGGAAATTTGTATTGCCAACAAACCAGTAAAGGGCCCACTTCAAATTGCAGAGAGTATACTTGAGAGCTTTCGTCCAATACTCTTGTTTGTTGAAGCTTTGAGTGATGGAGTAGTTTTCGACCTTGTCGTTCTCGATCCTGCAACACCGTCCGAAGATAATCAAAAAGCGAGCTAGACTGATAACAGAAAATCCAGATCATACATAAGCTAACATAACAAATAAGCACGATGTGGCAAATGTGAGAGACTGATTTTGATATGCAAGTGTTTTCTCTCTTCCATACATTAACTACAGTATAACATCTTCATGGTCATGGTATGCAACCTACTAGTTAGATCTGGTAAAAACACCATACCATCATAACATCTTATGAGGTCATTTCATGTTGCCCATGCAATGACATCATACTGTATCTCTGTCAATCGTTTTCTGATTAAACTAAAAAAATGATGCATCTAACATTTTTTGTAAGACAACCTCAATTTATCCCCAGGATGAAACTACTGAATCATCCTAGGGCCTGTGTTTCATACACAGAAAGTCCAAAGAATTTATCATTTCATTTGATGTTGTGCTGCATTTAGCCGTAGGAACAGCCAGAAACTGTCACTGTATGTACATCTCTCTCACACAAAAAACAAGGTAACACAGCTACTAATGTCTGGAGAAATATTTGCCAGGTTACCAGCTATATCAATACTTGCTCAAATAGCATACATCTCATCAACCATATACTTTTAGAAAATTACACTTCTAACCCTTTGAGATTTCAACTTTTTCTATCCAGTCCCTAAGTTTTCAAATCTTATAACTATCAGAAATAAAACTAAATGATCTTTTTCTTTATAATTTTGAAATATTAACTATTCTGAGTGACACATCTTTTATTACTTATGTAGCAAAAAGCAACATCAAAACAAAAACTTCTTGTCTTCTAATTCAAGCCAAAACATAAGTTTAAAAGTATATATATTTTTCTCCAATTTCCCTCCCTTTCTTTCTACCACAACGTTCAAATTTCTTTTCTTGTGGAAAAAATATGGGAGGGCAGCAAGGGCTTTGGCCGTCGTTGGAGAATGTGGATAAAAGGATGTTTATCCTCAGTTAACTTTTCAATTCTTATCAATGGAAGGCCTTGGGAGAAGATTATTGCGAAACGTGGTTTAAGATAAGGTGATCCCTTATCTCCCTTCTTATTTACCTTGATAGGTGACTCTTTCAGCTGTCTGATTCATTTTTGCAGTCAAAGAAGGTTTATCAGAGCCTTTGCGGTCGGGACGAAGGAAGTGGAGATTTCTCACCTTCAGTACACAGACGACACGATCATATTTTGCCCAAATCAGCCAGGGATGCTTGAAAATTGGTGGACTGTGATAAAACATTTTTCTTCTCACGCAAGGGCTGCCTTTGAACCTTGGGAAGACTGGCATCATTGGTATACTACATGTTGAGGAAAATACTGTTCCGGAGATGGCAAGCCAGTTAGGTTGTAAGTGGAACGCCTTCCCTTCTCTTATTTGGGTATCCCTCTGGGAGGAAATTATAAGAAAAAGTTCTGGGACCCGGTGATTGATAAAATTAGGAAGAAGATCGATAAGTGGAAGAACCTAACACTTTTAAAGAGGGGCCGATTAATGCTTGCGCAATCTGTTCTCACCAGTATCCCCCTCTATTATTTTTCAGTCCTTAAAACTCCAGTAGGGGTTGTCAAAGAGATTGGAAAGCTTATACTGAATTTCTTCTGGAATGGAGGGAGCTTGAAAGGGTCGTGCAACCACCTAGTAAATTGGGGAAAGACTAGTCTTCCCCTTCAGTATGGAGGCCTTGGCATTGGAGCTCTAAAACAGAAGAACAATAGCTTGCTCCTCAAATGGCCATGGAGATTCACCCAAGAGAAAGATGAACTATGGAGAAAAGTAATTGTGATTATTTATGGGGAAGCTTCCCATGGCTGGTCCACCCTCCCTTCCAAAGGAAGAGCTAAAGGTAGACCTTGTTTTGATATCTTTAAGAACAATGCCTTCTTCTTCAAATTCCTCGAGTTCTAGGTGACAAAAGGGGCCCGTATAAAGTTTTGGCATGATAGATGGCTTGGAACACCCTCTCAACACAACTTCCCTGTTTTTTTTAATCTCTCCACAAAGAAAGATGCCACGATAGCAGAGTGTTGGAACAAAGTTGAGAATGACCGGAACCTAGGCCTTCGTAGAGGCCTCTTTGACTGGGAGATAGACAGYTGGGTGGAGCTGATTAGTGTAATTGATAAGGTGCGGYTAGGAGAAGGGGAAGATCGGGTTGTAGGTAAAGGGGGGAATTTTTCCACTCGATCAGCTTGCTTGAAGATGGATGATTGCACCCCTTCTGTGAAATCTTCCCTCCTTTCAGCTATTTGGAAGTTTACTTCTCCAAAGAAAGTGAAGGTGYTTTTGTGGTCACCCGCTCATAGAAGTTTAAATACTCATGAAATCCTCCAAAAGAAGTGTAACATATGGATGCTTTTTACCTCGGTTTGCAAACTCTATATGATTAACGCTGAGACCATTGGTCATTTGTTTGTTAACCGTCCTTTAGCTGTTCGTGGTTGGAACTACCTTCCAGATCTTTTCGGGGTTTCGGTTTGTCTTCCTAATCAAGTTGACGGTTGGCCTTCCGAAGTTCTTCAATGATGGATTCTTCCTAACAAGGCTAAATTCTTGTGGAGTTGTGCCTTGAGAGCTCTACTATGGCACCTTTGGTTGGAAAGAAATCCCAGTGTTTCTGAAAACAAGATTTCTCCTTTTGAATTTTTTTTTTTTTTGTAGAAATGTAGAGAATACTACTTCTTGGCAGTGTATCAACTATAGGAAATTCTTTGGTAATTAGAACCTTTCCATGGTTATGAGCAATTATGAGCAATTGAAAAGCGTTGATCTAGTCCTTGGGTGGGGTTCCTTCTATTCCAACCCTTGGGTTGTTTCCTTTTCTTGCGGTACTTAAAATACACAAGTCTCTTATCAAAAAATATATGGAAAAATACACTTTTGGTYCCTGAGGTTTGAAGTAGGGTGTCTATTTGGTCCCTAAAATTTTAAAATTAGTATTTTTAGTCCCTGAAATTTAAGAAATGGTTCTAAATGGTCCTTGAAACTCTTTGACCGTTAGTTGACCTAAGAGAATGCTTATGTGGCAGTTAAATACTTTTGAACTATAATTATGTGGCAATTTTAAATTAGGTGGCAAAAATATATTAAATTTATATTATATTGGGTTGATTTGACTGTTGACGTGACAATAATACATTTTATATTATCTTCTCATTTCTTCTCTCTTTACTCCTTCCTTCTTCTCCGGTGGACCTTGCCTACACCGTCCGACGACTCTCGCTTTATCGATGCTGCCACCCATTGCTATCGACATCCACCGACAGACCGTTTCAGATATGGAGTTTGCTCTCCAGATCTGAAAGCTTCGAAGTCAAATATGGAACGGACATTTAGTTGGCGACGTGGTAAACGACAAGTTGGCCGTCGGTGTAAATGGTGTTGGCGACGACGGCGTCGACGACGCCAGTGGCCAAATTGATTTGGTCGCTCTGTTGTGTGCTTTTGAGGAGATTAATGAAGGTTGTGAACTGGTCGACCTTTTTGAGGATGACCGTGATGTTGGTCGGACCGGCAGGACCCGGCGGCTGAGTCGACATAGCAGAAACAAAGGAACGGAGGAAGGCCAGAAAGGAGGGAATGGGGAGGAGCTTCTTCATGATTGGGTTTGATTTTGTTTTTGAGCCATAAGAGGGAGAGGAGAAATGAATTTAATAAGAATGATAATTTGAAGGAATTGAATTGGTTTGGTGGGAGGGAAGAGAGGGGATTTTGCTCAATGAAGCAGAAAAAACAGAGCAGAAAGTGAAGGATGAAAGGTGGGGTTTTTGGTTTGGTGGGGATTGAAAAGTGCAAACATTTTGGTTTTGCACCAGATCTGATAAGTGCAAGGTCTGCTGGAGAAGAAGGAAGGAGGGAATAGAGAWAAAAGGAAAAGGGAGAAGATAATATAAAATGTATTTTTGCCACGTCAACAGTCAAAACAACATAACATAATATAAAATTAATATATTTTTGCCAACTAATTTAAAATTGCCATATAATCATAGTCCAATAAGTATTTAACTGCCACATAAGCATTCTGTTAGGGTCAACTAACGGTCAAAGGGTTTCAAGGACCATTTAGAACCATTTCTTAAACTTCAAGGACTAAAAGTGTTCATTTTGAAAGTTCAAGGACCAAATAGACACCTACTTCAAACCTCAGGGACCAAAAATGTATTTTTCCCTAAAATATATTTATAAATATATYATGGGGAAAGAGAAATTGATAAGAGAGAAGGAGAGGGTAATGGGGAAAGAGAAGTTCTTTATCTTGGTATTTAATTTAATTTAATTTAAACTTTTTGTGGCAGTAATTTTGGTTGAGGATGGAAGAAGTTTTCTTTGTCTTAATATTTAATTTTGTTTTCAATCAGCTTTCTGTTGCAGAGGCTGATGAAAAACTAACCGTGTGAAACAACTTACATTATAAGATTTTAAAATTTAGAATACAAAATTTCAGAGTCCAAAAGTGTAATTCGCTAAATATTTGATAATAAGTGTCACTCTAGGACCCGTCCCTCTTTAGACTTTATATCCAAAGCTTTTTTTAATTACCATTGAAGACAGATTTTGTTAGATTGGAGTCCCGAATGGTTCTAGTTTGGCTCCTTTTATTGGGCTGTCTTTTTGTACGCCTTTTATATTCTTTCATTCTTCTGAATGAAACCTCAGTTTTTCATTAAAAAAATTGTAAAAGGTAGCTCATATAAGAGGGGACATGAATAGGAGCAAATGCAGTCTAAACACTCTTAAAAGTGCTGGCACTTCCATAGGATCTACACCACTAGAGTGACTCGCATGCAGTAAGTTGAACTACATACAGTTAAGAAGTTCAGTGAATCCAACATGCTTCACTCCGCAGTGAAAGCTACAAAGATCATGCTAACACTAGGTTTTAAAAGTAAAATAAAATCAATACAATTACATGGAGAGGATGCATGAAATCAAAAATAATAGAACTTACTTATACGGCAACTTGAAACACTTCTCATGTGGTATGTTGTTCTCCTGATCCCTAGAATTTGCAAAGTCGGCAAATTCCTTTAGGCATGTCAAGAATAACGTCATGGCTTTGTCATAACGAGTACTCCAAAATAAGTTCACAGGTCCAAACCTATTAAATTACTGAGATATGAAATCAAGAGTCCTAAAGAATGTTTCAAAGAATTGGAGTCCGTGCAATTTAATGAATTAATGAAATTTAAAAAAAAAATTATATTTACTTACAATTCATATGTACTGTTATTGTCCATGATGCGAGGGTAGCTCCCCATTGGAAGTATTTTTATACGATATCTAGGAAATAACGAATTAAAGAAATAGGGTTCTTTACTCAATCTGGATTTCCTATACTGATTTCAGACACGAAGAGATGCACAAAGGAAGAATTGGGAAGAGTATTGTTCCCAGAACAGAAGTTCAAAACAATCAACTTTACAGATGTCGCCCAACAATGTTCCAAGACCAGAATGCAAATTGGAATTCACATTTTAAAGGGTAAAATGTATTTTTTGATCAACTGCCTCTAGGTTTCCCTTCATATGTTGTTGAAGCAATTACCAATCTAAATTATTTACGACTAATTTCTCTAATCTGATGCTCACTACAAGAAACAACGCTCCAGTACACGGATCTTCAATTTTTCTTTCCTGCATATTTCTGTTCTAAAGTTGTCAAGTTACTTTCTCCATCCTTTCTTACCAGAACTTGTTTTACACTTTGTTAAAGATCTGCGACATCATTTCATCTCAATCWATCCAAATCACCAATGCAAATGTAATAATCAAAAGATAATCCACAACAGAAAGGAACTTAACGATTGCTCAGAATATTCCTGGAAGTGTTTGTGTCATAAATTGTTACTTAAAAAAGGATACTGAAACCTTGGCCTGAAATACTGACACATAGTATGAAGAAGAAGGCTAGCCTGTCCCCATGCAGCATTTATTTCATCCCATTCAACCTAAATGTTTCAACACAAAAGTTAGTGAGAAAAAAGAGTCTAATAGTAATAACTAAAAATTCTAAATACAGAAACAATAGGATAGGTTAGTTATCATACTGGAATCTTAGGAAGACGTCCAAGCCGGAAATTGTTAATCGTTCCAAACTCCCCATCATGCCAAATGGGAAATGCATCATTGAGCACATTTGTTCGCTTCAACGACTCCAAATGTGCTTGTGAAACTTCTATCTTCGCTAAAATTGCATCCCTCTCTTCCTGTTAAAGTCCTCATTCACTCAACAACGTAATAGAAAAGATACTCAAGAAGTCAAGATTAGGCAGTAATTCCYTTTTTGCTGAATAGAGGATGATTATGAATTTTTTCATAATTGAAAATTTAAACTTGCATAGGGATTCTCAGTACGGATCATGTAATATGGGTCATAAGCAGTAGTGTATCAGTTAGATACAGCCAGAAAAAATGTCACGACAGTAATATAAATTATTAAATAGTTTTCATTCTTTTTAGGGAAAAAAATCCATTCATCTAATTAAAAGAATTAGAAAAGTATAGTGCCAGACATGGTGCTGAATCTTCCCATAGTCTTCTTCGTTCCCGTTAAATCCATCGCACAAAAGAGAAACCCCACGTTCTGGCTTGCTGAGTTACCAAAAGTCCAATTCAACTCAAACATTTGAAGAAAAGTGTACCAACAATCAAGACTAATGGAACATTGAAAATATTAAATGGTTTTGATTTTCTTTCTATTTTTCTGCAAAAAGACACACCAATGCAGTCCTACTGTCTTAGGATCCCATTTCCGATCTGATTTTAATTTTTTTAATTTTTATTGGAAAGTCAAAACTAATGCCATCACCAAGACTGCAATCCCAATTTTACTCATTACTAGTAGCCTACGTCAGGAGAAAGTACTATATTGATAGCAAAAACTCCTTATAGAACTTTAATTTATCCCAAAGATTATTTTACTAGCTAAAACTCCATTAACTCTTTCCACCATTTTTTTTAATATCCGTGAGCGTGCCAAGTTACACGCACCTCGACTAATCTCATGGGACAACAGCTTGAACCTACTCCATTTTGTTGYCAAGGAAACTTCTAGGATATTAAATCCCAGGTATGTGGACACCATAGTTTGAACTCATTCCCTCTAATCCTTTCTTATTTACATTAGTGCTTATTGGACACAACACCAACCCATGGTTAAAAAGCTTTCCAACATTGGCCCTTGTTAACTCTTTCCAACATTCACAAGGTTAAAAAGCTTAGGCCATCACCTAACTCCAATAATAAAATATTCCAAYGATCTTTTATATCCAATGCATCTGACTCCATAATTGGATGATCGATTAAGTCCAATGATCAAAAGTTTATTGCATACCAAGCTAGACCAAAACAAGGTTAGCTTCTACTTGATTTAGGTGGAATAAAAATATTTGTATCCCARTAATTAATTAATAAGAAATATGTAGCCTTCTTATATAGAASAGAAGCTCAAACATAAAAGGAAATAAAGATAAAATAACAATTAATATTGACAACAGCTAATATTTACAAATAATAAACCAACAATCCCCCTCAAGCTGTCAAATTGTACTTTCGGTAGTCCTTTTGTCAACACATCGGCAGTCTTTTCCATTTTGGGAGGTAAGGGATACATATCATGCCGGTGTCAACTTTTTCTTTTATGAAATGTCTGTCAATTTCTATATGCTTAGTCCTATCATGTTGAACTGGATTGTGGGCTAGAGAAATGGCAGCCTTGTTGTCGCAATAAACTCGTATGGGTGCCTTCTGAAATACTCTCAATTCTTCAAGTAACCTTTTTATCTACATCTGTTCACAAATACCATGGGCTAAGGCCCTAAATTCTGCTTCAGCACTGCTTTTGGTCACTCCATTTTGTTTCTTACTTCACCAAGTTACTAAGTTACCACCAACAAATGACCAATCAACATCGGTATAAACTTCAACCTGCAAATGATTGTGTTTTTTGAACAATATACCTCTTCCTGGAGTTCCTTTCAGATATCTTAAAATTCTATAGGCAGCTGATCCTGGTGAGTGCATAAATTGGCTTACCATGCTTACTACAAATGTAATATCTRGACGTGTGTGAGACAAGTAGATGAGTCTTCCCACAAGGCTTTGATATCGTTCTTTATCTTTTACTTCTCTTACAGCTTCCAATTTCAAATTAGGTTCAATAGGAGTTTCAGCTACCTTGCATCCAAGCAAACCTGTTTCTCCAAGTAAATCAAGAATATATTTTCTTTGGTTAACAAAGATACCTTTCTTAGATCTTACAAACTCCATTCCTAGGAAGTACTTTAACATTCCTAGGTCCTTAATTTGAAATTCACTTGCGAGTCTTTTCTTTCGAGTGACCAGTTCTACTTCATCATCATTGATTTGGAAGATTTTTTATATTCTGCAGCGGGGCTCTTTTTCTTCCGGGGAGGCAAAGTCACCCAAGTTCCATAGCTTTGGGTCCGCTATCCCGATCATATAGGTCCCAAAAAAGAACGCGCTACGCCCGGCCCCCTCGGGCGTTCGAATCTCCAGACGACTTTCTTCAACCGCCCCTGTTCCAACAGCTAGAGATAATAAAAGTTCAGGTTCAAGCACAATGTCATCTACATAGACAATCAAAATTGCAGTCTTATTATTTTCAGAACGTTTGTAAAAGATGGTATGATCAGCTTGACTCTGAAGAAATCCATAGCTCATGACTACTTTACCAAATTGCTCAAACCATACTCTTGGAGATTGTTTGAGTCCATATAAAGATTTCTTTAACTGACATACTTTGTCTTTTAGTTTTCCAAGATTAGCTTCAAAACCTGGTGGTAAACTCATAAATACTTCTTCTTCAAGATCTTCATTCAGAAAGGCATTTTTTACATCAAGTTGGTGAAGGGACCAATCTAAATTTGCAGCTAGAGATAAAAGTATCCTAATAGAGTTGATTTTAGCAACAGAAGCAAAAGTTTCCTGATAATCAATCCCATAGGTTTGAGTAAATCCCTTTGCAACTAGTCTAGCTTTCTACCTTCCAACACTACCATCAGCATTACACTTGATTGTAAAAACCCATTTACACCCCAAAGTTTTCTTATCTCTTGGCAAATCTACTATCTCCCATGTACAATTCTGTCTTAGAGCACTCATCTCCTCCATAACAGCTAGTTTCCAATTTGATCATTTAGGGCTTCTTGTATGTTCCTTGGAATAAACAAGTTGGTTATCCTAGACATAAAGGCTTTATGACTACTTGATAGTTTTTCATAAGAGATATAGTTTGTAATGGGATATTTGGTGCAAGTACGAGTAAGAATTATCCCTCGGAGTTTCACATTGGGTCTGTCATGAGTCAGCTATCTGGTCCTCATTCATTTGATTGAGTCTTTTTCTAGTATAAAACTTAAACTCAGGATTTGGATCAATTTGATCATTTCGTAGTAATTCTCCCCCTGAATCAGAGTTTTCTACGCTTGGCATTGAAGGACTAGGACTAGTAAAGTTGGGACTTAAAACATTAGGAGGAGGAGCAGGTATATCCCAAGAATTATMATCCTCTAAATTCAGTTTCTCCCCTGAAGATAATAATTTTGGGTAAAAAATTTACCCAGACCGAACTGAGTGAACCCAACCGAACCAAAATTCGAACCGAACCAAATCTGGGTTTGTACACTAACAAA